TTGGGGGGGGGGGGGTGAGGCAGAGCGGTGGAGGCCCTTGTCACCTGCGTTGGCTTCAGATGGGTTTTACCCTACGCCTGTGCAAAGGGTGTTGGACTCTTGGTGCTGGCTGGCGTTTGTGCAAGGGGCTGCCCTCCTATGAGGTGGGACAGGCCTGACTGCAGGCGGAGTGCTGTTAATTTGGTAGACCTACAGGCATGTGGCGTAGAAAATGCATTTTTAACAAGCTGCAGGGGGTGGGATGTTGCATACCTGCATTGTAGATAGGAAAGCTTGTAAAGTGTGAGAGGGCTTCTGGCTCTTCAGGCCTGGTCGGTGCTGTGGGTGAGGACTGGAGGCGTTTTGTGGCATACGAAGGGGCTGGGGAGCCTCTTGGGCTGGCGATGCACCGGGTCTGCCTTTTGAGACCCTCAAAAGTGACATGCTGGACCTGCATTTCGGCTGTAGCAGGAGGCGGTGGCTTGGTTTAAGAGCGAGCTGGGTCTAAAAGTGTTTTATTTCTGCACCGAGCATTGCAGGTAGAGTGTGCAAAGCTGTAAGGTTGCACCAGGAAGCTGCTGTGAGGCCCGTGCCAGCCAAACCCATCCGGTTGTGAGCAACAGGGGCGGGATGCCGAGCGGCACATGCCGGAGAAGCCGTTTCCCCCAGGCCATGCTTTAGCCCTGGCCATCTGGTCATTCACATAGCCCTCGCTTGGAAGCAGAGAGCTGGCAGGATCTGAAAGTTAATGTTTTGTGGTTGAGAGGTATCAAGATTCATCCAGGTTTTGGCAGCACCAGCTGTTTAGGGAGAGGCTGTGGTTCTGCCGGCCCCGCTGGAGGGACGGGGGGCGTTTGGTGAGGAGCTGTGCGGTGGCTCGGCTGCTGAGCACAGCTGTCTGTACGACACAGCAAGGGAAGATTGCGATGATGATTTGCATCTCATGGCTGGAGTCTATTAAGTCACTATTTTTAGCAAGATGTTTCCTCCGGTGCGTCCGAGCGTCTAATATTTGCCGCTGTCAAACTGACCTAGTGGCAGTCAGTGGGTTGTTTCGTTCCCCGGCAGAGTTCCGTGGGCTTTTCTTCCTGTGACTGAAAGCAACTGCTGCTTGATGAGTCTTTGGGCCTTTGCAGAAAATGTTTGTGACTTTTAAAACGGCAGGCAAAAGAGAGAAGTGTGTGGGTGGATTTTTTTGTGACGTGGTCAGAAACATTTCAGCTTGCACCTAGTTCTGTTCAACTCAACGGTGGGGGAAATGGGGAAGGGCTGGTGTCACCCCGAGAAATGCTTCTGGGAAGGGAACGCTGTTAAAGGACTAGTTGGAAATGTTTTCTCTCATCAGTGGGAGTCGATCTTCGAAAACATTCAAACCCAAGAAGAACATTCCCGAAGGCTCCCATCAGTATGAACTCTTGAAACATGCGGAAGCGACGCTGGGGAGCGGTAACCTCAGACAAGCAGTTATGCTGCCGGAGGGAGAGGACCTGAACGAGTGGATCGCAGTTAACAGTGAGTCCTATGGAAGAGGGATCTGCCCGAGCATGGAGGTGGAGTGGGCGAACCAAAAATCCCCGCTTTTTATCCTTAAAAGAACCTAGAAATTCCTCAAATGAAACTGTTATCCCGTGCTCTGTTGAGGTAACCAAGCTGGGATTAAAGGAGAGTAAGTGGCATGAGGTGCTGACAGCAGCTGGGTCCTGTGTCGGAGGGATGTTGCGCTCCGGAAGCGTGCAAAAAGCGAGAAACAAACCCACGCTGTTGTGGTTTTGGGGTGGGTTTTTTTGAGTTCAGACTTGCAAAGGCGATTAGGTTTGTGAATGGTTATTTTTATACTGGGGAATAAGCCTTGAAGTCTTGACGTCTGGAATTAGAGTTAGTGCTGTGGGCTGCAAAAATGGTGACAGCGACTCGTCCAGGGACAAAGCGGAACCATATTCTCGACGGAAGTCTAGGTTTGTGGAGTTTGTGTTTTCTATTTTTGTATTTTAGCTGTGTGCATAATATAGAAGGCCAAATACTACAAATTTATTTTACATTTAGCAGTTGCTCTCCCTAGCCTTGAACTTTGCTTCTTTAAACGTTAGAGGAGGGAAAAAGTAGTTTTCAGCAATGTAAAACAGTAAGTCAGGCTGCAAGTCTTCCACCTAAGGAAGGTCTCTCCTGTTTTATCAAAACCCATGAGGTTTTTGGGGTACTGTCACTTTTGAAAGTTGCCTGGAACCTAAAGCGATCCTTTCCAAGGTATGGAAAGCTAAGTGGAGCTTCACGCTGTACAAAGCAGTTAGGGGTGGTAGCCAGACAGTGAAAAATTGACAGATTTGGATTCCTAGATGGTCAAAATGTCTTGAAGTTGTCAGCCACGTGATGTCATACGGAAGGGGGGGTGTTTGTTTTTGCTGAGAGCTTTGTGGTCCGCTTCGTGTTTGCGCTTTGAGTAAACTTGCTGCGTTTCCTTTCCAGCGGTGGATTTCTTCAACCAAATCAACATGCTCTACGGGACCATTACGGAGTTCTGCACGGAGGCGAGCTGTCCAGTCATGTCTGCGGGGCCAAGGTAATAAGTTTACTGCTGTCTCTGGCTGCAGTTTAGATGTGGGGAAGTAGGCAGGTGCGCAGGTTGCTCGAGCAGCTAAAAAGAGGACAGGACAGGTCCAGACTGGGTCGAGGCGCAGTGACGTGCTCCCTGGCGGTGTTTACCCATGTGTGAAGCCACGCTGTCTGTTAGGGGGGCTGCGTGGTGTTGGGAGCCATCGATTTGTCGATCCAGGGGAAGTGTGTGTGGGGACGTCTCTTCCTTCTGTTGATCGGGTCCCTCTGTTTGGAAGCTGAAAAGAAACGGTTTAAGGAAAACGAGAGATTTGACTCGACAGGAAGCATCTGGTCTTGCTGTTAGGCTTACAGTAACCTCTCGACGTGCCGTCTCGCAGCGCTGCTGCTCGGAAGAGGCCATAGTGTGGTTTCTCCAAGCACGAGTGATTGTAAAGATGCTGCTGCCAGCACGAGGCAGGACACAAGCCAAGCGAATGCTCGGGTCAGGTTATCGTATGGCGTGTGCGGTGGCTGTGCAGGGAGGAGAGGGCAGCCCTGGTGGTGTTGCTGAGACCTAAAGCTGGAGAGGGGACCTCGTGCTTATCCTGGCGCCGGCTGCAAAAGAGCACGAAGCGTGTGTTGTCCTGAGGGGATTTTAGGGGCTGTTGTCCCTCGATTCGCACCGGTGCCCGTCCTGCAGGCGAGAAGCAGAGGCGGTGGTGGTCAGGAGGAACGTTGAGCTGGCTGAGGTAGGGCAGCTGCTTTGGAGGAGCTCAGGGCAGCGTGGAGGGTGGAAAGGAAATAGTGAAGGTGTATTTGGGGCGCCTTGTTGTTTTTAGGAGCTGTGAATACCTGTGGGGAGAGGCCTGTTATGTGTTGGTTCTGTATTTTGCCAAAGTGGAGCTACAGCACTTGTAAGGTTGCTCGAGGCTGTTTTTTGGGGCAGCAGCAGGGAGTCTGGCTAGTGGGCAGTTTGTAGGGTGCTGTGTAACATCCTGCCCCTCTTTTCTACCCAGAAGTATCTAGATTGCAAGTTCCTGTTTCTATATTTGGGGACATTTCCTGTAATGACTTCCTGTTTAAATGACACCGTTTGTTTTCACTTGTCATCAGTCAAGAGGCGACAATTAAACATGTTTTTTTTTTCCCCTCCTCCCAAATGATTTTGCAAAAGATCTCGGAGAAAGCGGGTTGTATTGTCACGTGGCGTTAGTCAATGTCTGCCCCAGTCTGGAGGAGCTGTGGGAAGTGTGTTGATTTGAGCCAGCAGCTTCCAAAAGTCTTTGGCTAACGGGTGGCCCCAGGGATGGTCTCCTGGAGAAGCTGGCCATTTCGCGTGAGGGGAGAGGGAGTGCAGAATTTCCTGTGGGGGTTGTGTGTCTGAAAGCCACAGGTGAATTAATTCAGGTGGCGGATGATGGCCCTGACATGTCCTCTTCAGCCAGTTTTTGTCTTGTTTTAAGGAAATGTTGATGTTGGAGGAGGCTGCCACAAAACTGAAAGCTCACTTTTGAGGGTCAAGCCCTGAGGGCGATCGCAGCAGCAGTCGGGATGCAGGTGTTAACGCTGAGGCTGTTGTGCTCAAGAAACACGGAAAGGCAAAGTGCTGCCCTCGTTGCTTCTGCGGAGTCTGAGCGTTGCAGCGCCACTCCTTACTGAGATAAGGAGGAAGCTGTGGGGCCTGAAAAGGCAATTTTGCCTCTGGGAGCAAATGATTTCTTTTCCTTCCCTCTCCTCGCAGGTACGAGTACCACTGGGCGGACGGCACTAACATAAAGAAGCCGATCAAGTGCTCGGCTCCGAAGTACATCGATTACTTGATGACGTGGGTGCAGGACCAGCTGGATGACGAGACGCTCTTCCCTTCGAAGATCGGTAAGTGCGGCTGCACCACGCAACAGGCCTTGCGGACGGGAGCGAGCCGCTGCCGAACGACTTGTTTTGGTGCTTCGGACCAAACTGCAGGACTTCTCTCTGCACGTTGCTGCGTTTCAGGCGTCCCTTTTCCCAAGAACTTCATGTCGGTGGCCAAGACGATCCTGAAGCGGCTGTTCCGGGTGTACGCCCACATCTACCACCAGCACTTCGATTCCGTCATGCGGCTGCAGGAGGAGGCCCACCTCAACACCTCCTTCAAGCACTTTATCTTCTTTGTGCAGGTGAGCTGTGAAACAGCGGCTGGTTGCCTGCCTCAGGGGGGTTCTCATTCCCCATTTGCTCTAAAAGGGAGTTGGGTTTGAAGCACCTCCCTTGCTCTTTGAAGCTTTACAGCTGTGGTGTGTGCTGGAAGATACACTTGGCTCCCATCCCCCTGTAGCGTGCAAACCGTGCAGCTGCAGCACTGTGGGTTTGTGGGGTTGGGTTGGTGTTTGGGTTTGGTTTTCAGGAAGGATGGCCAAGTTGGCTGTAAATGGTTGAATTTCCCTCTCAGGTTTTAGCTGTCAGCCTGCAGTAAAAGAAACCAGGCTCAGGAGAACCCGGCGGGTTTTGTAGCTCAGGAATTGACTTGTGGCAGCAGCGGCGCCTTCTATAACTGCTGGTATTTTAACAGCCTGCTCTGACTGCGCATGCGACTTGCTGTGCAGCTTGGCACTTCTCGGCAATGCAGCAGAAAGTTTTGTCGCCCTGAAACGCTAGAATTTCTCTGCAGAGAAACGGGAGAGGCAGCTGCTGCAGTGCTGCCTGTTTGGGGTTTCTCTCAGAAGCTGGCACGCATTGACATGCCGAGTTCCCAGCACGCCTACGGTGGCCGGACGTGTTTTCCAGCAGCTCTTTGAGAGGCACCTTTAGTTTTTGTGTTGTTTGTTGTTTTGTTGGTTTTTTTTTCCCTGCTAGGAATTCAACTTGATTGACAGGCGGGAGTTGGCTCCTCTGCAGGAACTGATTGAGAAGCTGGGCTCCAAGGACAGATAAAACTTGCCCTGGGAGGACCCTTTGGGCTGCTCCTTTCCGCTTCGTACGCCAGCCACTTCTACGCTTCGCCTTCAGCGACGCCAAGCCCCGAGACGCCGGACGACGCTCTGAGCGGCACCGGGCTGGGAGGCCAAGCGTCGCCCCTCCCGCACCGCTGCAGCCTGTGGTGTTTGAAAAGCCCGTGGCCACGCTGCGCTGACTCGCCCTGCGTACTCCGACGGGTTTTCTAGGCTCTGTGCTCGAGTCCGAAGGCAGGACTCGGCCGCAGAGCGGGTTTTGTTCTCCGGGGGCATGGGGGTGAAGCTCAGCGCGCTGCGTGACTGTTTCCTACTCCCAGAGGCAACGTTTTCCTCCGGCCCCCACGGACACAGCCCAGTAGGGCCAAGCCCAGCGTCCGCTTCCCCTGGGCGAGAGTGGAGTGGCTCAGCTTATTTTTTTTTTTTTTTTTTTTTTTTTTCGGATGAGAGGTGCACTTAGAGCCTTAAACTCCCCTCAGCAGCAGCAACAGTGTTGTGGGGGGAGGAAAAGAAGTGCCTGGCCTGAGGGGATCCTGTCCCTGGGCTGGAAGAGCAGCAGTGGGGGGCTGAGGGAGGGACCCTGCTGTGTGGCAAGGCAATAATAATAAAATTTCTCCTTCCTGCTCTTCTTTCAGAGGATGAGGGGGTGTCTCAACTTCTTCCCCGCCCTCCCCCTGCCTCCTCCCAGCCCCACACAGGTGCCTTAAACGCAGCCTTTGGATGTTTTTAGGTAAGAAGGTAGTTTTTGCGTGTCGCCACAGAGCCCTGCGGGCACCTCTCAGGGAGAGCATCTTTATTGTCGGGTCAGCGGCAGGAGCGTCAGGGTTTGGGGGTGGAGGTGAAGATGCGCAGCCCGTGCATGCTCTTGATCTCCTCGCTCAGCGCCTGCAACAGACCAAGCGCCAGCGCTCAGGGTCGAGTGCGGAACGGCAGCTGGGGGGCGCAGGGGGGTCACCGTGTGCCCCACGGGAGCGAATGCGGCTACGCTGGATCAGAGCGTTGCCTGCGCCAGGGCCGGTTTATTGATGGCACAGCCCGCCCTTGGTGCCGCGGGTGCCTCCAGCACGGCGCAGCGCTCTTGTGGGGAGTGTGCGCGTACCCCCCGCCGCAGCTGAGCGCTGACACGGGTTGGGTGTGCGCTGGGTAACCACTGCGCCCAACTGTCGGTGCTGTACCCGGGGTGGGTGCTGCACGCGGAGCTGCCGTAGCTCTTGGAAAACGAGGGCTGTGCGGTCGGTTGGTTGGTTGGGGAGCCGTGCGGTTGGTTGACTGGTTGGTTAGTTGGTTGGTTAGGGGGCTGTGCGGTTGGTTACACACACAGGGGAGGGCTCAGCTGCCAGCGCTGTGCACACTCACCTCCCCCCAATCCCCCGCCAAGCGCTGCGGCCCCCCCTCACCTGATTAACCATCTGGTGCTGCTGCACCGTTCGCTTCTCTCTGAAATCCTCGGACTCGATGTGAATCTCGTACATGGCGCCGCAGCCCCCTAAGAAGAGAAAAGCGGCCGCAAACGCTTGAGCAAAGAGGCAATTTGTGCCCCCCCTCGTGTCCCTGATCCGTTTGAGGGGTCCCCACAGCGTGGGAGGTGGGGGTGCGGGGGGCAGGGACCGACTGGGCCCCTCACAAAGCGCATGGTTTGAGGGGGGCAGAAGAAAACAAAGAGCTTCCCCCCCC